AATAATGACGTGGCCGAATTATAATTGGCCACGTGTAAAAAATGGTTTTGTAAAACCACCGTTAAAAAATAATGGCATGAATGAACCTTTTCTTAAACGGTAATGGCATAGATGAGCCAAACTTTTAACGGATGGCATAAATGAGCCTTTTCTGAAAGTTCGATGGCATATTTGAGCCTTTTCCCTTAATAAAATAATTAAAGACGGACGTATATAAGAATAGAAAAATCTAAAAAAGAAGTTAGTTAGTTAGTTCAAGGCAGTGTTATTTTCATGATGCTTCCCTCGAGAACTGCGCTTTTCTCTCTCTTCATTCTCTCTCTCTTAACCGGAATCCTCCCTTCCACCGCCGTGCCAGACACCGGCGGCACTACTACCATCGGCTTCACCTACTCCGCCGCCGTGGACAACTCTCCACCGCCTGAGCATGTCGTTACAGCACTTCAATCTCTCAATATCCCCGCCGTACGCCTCCTTAATCCGAGTCCAACTTTAATCCGAGCATTTTCCTACTCCAATATCTCCCTGCTACTCACCGTCCCAAATTACCTCGTCGGAGCCTTCGCTGCCAATCGCTCAGCTGCTACTCTTTGGGTTTATAACAATGTACTTCCGTTTCATCCTCGTGCTCGGATTTCACTCATTTCAGTTGGTTCCGACGTTATCTCTTCCACCGGCGGTCCCGGAATTTCCGATCCTACCACTGCCTTAGTCCCTGCTATGCAAAACTTACACCACGCGCTTATTGATTTGGGAATCCGTACTGTTTCAGTTTCTACTACTTTCTCCTTCATCAACGTGATTACAACGGCGTTTCCTCCGTCTTCAGCTGAGTTCCAAGAGCCTGTTAACTCGCTTGTTATCAGACCAGTACTTGAGTTTTTGGAGGAAACGAATTCATCTCTGTTAATGAATGTGTATCCGTACAATGTGTATCGACTCCATGGAGAGATTCCGATTAGTTTCGCTTTGTTCCAGGAAGGTCCATTTAACTTCCGTGATGATGTTGTTACAGGTGTTCGGTATCATAATCTGTTTGATATGATGGTTGATGCTGTAATTGCTGCAATGGCGGTTTCAGGCTACGAGAATGTTCCCCTGATTTTGACGGAAACAGGGTGGCCAAGTAATGATGAGCACATGAATGCAGAGGAGAGTCAGATGTACGCTGAGAAATACTTACAAGGACTGATTTCACATTTGAAATCTGGTCTTGGAACTCCACTCAGGAAGGAAGGTGCTGCTCAGGCTTACATTTACCAGTTGTTTGACGACGGGCCTGAATCGAATTCGAAGAAGAACAACTTGAGCTCTGATGGTGGTGAAACAGTGCATCAGTACTGGGGAGTGATGTACCACAACATGACCATGAAGTACAACATCAAATTTGACAATGCTCATCAAATTTCCACAATGCTTGGTTTACTCGTTCCCTCAATCTATTTTCTATGGCTTCTTTACCATTTCTTCTTCTGTCTGTTTGGTCTGGATTGATGATTGACTAGTACTAGAGAAATCTTCATGTTAATACTAATTCATTGCCTGGAGGGTAACTTTGCCTGAACCAGATCTCTGGTTCTTGCTTAAACTCCAAATTAGTCTACTGATGATTGCAAGCACAATAAAAAATAGCATGTGTGATACCTAGATATTTCTGTTGCTGTTGATTGAATTTCTGTTGTAGTATTACAAGAAAGCATACAAACAATGTAGTTGTTGTATTCTTAGTCTATCTGTTGCTGTTGGCTTAATTTCTTCTTCTGATATGATCACTATTGATCCCACCATGATTACTGATTCATGCTTCCATGTTTATTGAAGAAGATTGCAAAATACTTGCAAGAGCTTTGATCTAGTGGTAATTAGAACCGTGCACGCGTGATGTGTGAGTTAGATACACATGGTTCTAATCTTATCTTAAATGAAAGTAACTTATTATGTTGATAATATTAGTTGAGGGTAAACTATGAAGATTCATATAGTCAAAGTTTAACTTGTTTCGAATTGAGGCATAACTATAGTCGGAAAAAATTAAATATCCAAATGAGACATAGTTACATGTCCTTTCAATTGTATCTGTTATTTTAAATAAATAGTCTGGTGCACGAAGCATCCCGAGTTCATATAGGAATTGGTAAAGATCTAAAGGTGTGTAACATTGTCAGCCTACCATGATCTGATTCCACAGCTCAAATCTGTGACATATAGGTCACTCAAACAAGTTTGGACCTATAAGGTCACACAACGACGAAACCCATCGTTGTTCCGAGGCTCCCCTTGGAGTAGTATCATATATTTGTAAGAAAAACAATATAAATGCCCCTCTTAGTCTAAACATATAACATCATCTGAATCTGAGGAGTTTCCATCAGCAGATGATGAGTTCTTGTTCACAGTCTGCAGGTCTTGCCAAAAGCTTTCTAACTGGTCATGAGTAAACCAGTCTTCCTTCATCTATAAAACAGAAAAGATTATGAGGATTAGAGGATTTCTTGATATGAAGATTGTTGAAGAGCACGACCATATCGTCTAAAAGTTTAAACTGTTAAGAGAGGGGACACTTTTATTTATTCAATTGTGTCTTCAACGCGCCCCCCTCATGTGCTGGCTTGATTATTTTTTCAAGAGACAAGCACGTAGAAATACTTTTTGGGTGGCGATGAGACTCAAATTCAGGACCTTTGTCTGCTCGGATACCATGTTAAGTGTGTGAGAGAACACTTCTATTTATTTGATTATCTAAATAGTTTGACAAAGTACTCACAAAGTAAGGGTAGCCTTCTGAAATGCTAAAAGTTTCTGGAGCATTCTCTAGGAAACGGCTAATGTAGTACAAAACAAATATACCACAGTCGGTAGCATTTCTCTGTTGCGGTACCTGAAACGTTCAAGTCGTTCTAAATGAGAGACCATCGTATTGAATGTTACATCAAGTCGATAATTGCATAATGTGTTCAAACACACATAGTAAGTAACATCAGAATCAAGAGTGAAAAGTATTGTGACCTGAGGAACCAATAGTGGGATTTTCTTAATCAGCCGCTTGCTCTCTGGCCTCTCTTCATTGTTGAATATGCTGGAAACAAATCTACAAATCGAACAAAACAAAGCATAAACAGCAAAATAACTAGCAAAACCAAAATCATAAGGTAGGATGTTGGTCGAGGAAAATACTTTCTTATCTCAGGTGCAAATCGCGAGGAGTCTGCTATCTGCAACGAATCCAGCAACAACATACAGGGAGTTGTTGATTCTGACTCCAGACTTTCACCGAGATGGCAAAAGATCAAAAGACACCAATGACCCCTGATGAATGACATCTCAGTCAACAAAGCACAACCGCAAATGATATGTAACTTTGGCAAAGCCAGATAACAAATCAGAAACACATACCAGAGAACGATGGGAACAAAAACATATTTTTTCGAGAATATGTCTTTGTTCTTAATCCATCTCAACACCTTAGACTCATACTGTTTGTTTCTGTATGAGGAAAACCACATGGAGTCGAGGCATGCAAACAAATTTTTCTTATCCTCTGGTAGTTTCCTCCATATATTCCTACATTATCCCAAAAAGATATGTTCAAAACAGAAACTGGAAAACATATACCCAAATAGCATAATTTAGTACACAAAATCACAAACTTACTCCAGGTAACAGTCAAAGTTAATCGAGTTTAACTTTCCCTCTGATCTGGAGTTCCTTCGGAGGCGTTCTCCCTCTGATCTGGAGTTCCTTCTTTTTGGCAGTCCACGGAGGCGTTTTCCCTCTGATCTGGAGTTCCTGCTATTTGACAGTTCACGGAGCCGCTCTCCCTCTGATCTGTCGTTCCCCGTGCGTTCTCCCTCTGATTGGTCGTTCCCCATGTGTTCTCCCTCTGATATGTCGTTCCCCGCGTGTTCTCCCTCTGATATGTCATTCCCCGTGTGTTCTCCCTCTGATCTTTCGTTCCTTGATCTGGAGTTCCTGCTATTTGACAGTTCACGGAGCCGTTCTCCCTCTGATCTGTCGTTCCCCGTACGTTCTCCTTCTGATCTGCCGTTCCCCGTGCGTTCTCCCTCCGATCTGTCGTTCCCCATGCGTTCTCCCTCTGATATGTCATTCCCCGTGCGTTCTCCTTTTGATCTGTCGTTTCCCATGCATTCTCCATTTGATATGTCATTCCCCGTGCGTTCTCCCTCTGATCTGTCCTTCCGTCTATTTGACAGTCCACAGAGACTTTCTCCCTCTGATCTGTCATTCCTTCTATTTGACAGTTCACAGAGGCGGGAAGAACGATGTGGCTCAACAGCTGAATCAAGTGTAGAAGCTACTTGAGTGCGCTCTCCCTCTGATCTGTCATTCCTTCTATTTGACAGTTCACGGAGGCATTCTCCCTCTGATCTGTCATTCCTTCTATTTGACAGTTCACGGAGGCATTCTCCCTCTGATCTGTCATTCCTTCTATTTGACAGTTCACGGAGGCATTCTCCCTCTGATCTGTCATTCCTTCTATTTTCCAGTTCACGGAGGCGGGAAGAATGCCGTGGCTCCACAACTGAACCAAATAATCAGTCTATATAAGTAAATGTAAAAGAAAAGAGAAAACAACAGTAATTGGGATGATAAAAAAAGGAAGGAAAAGAATATAACCATTTCTGCTTCTTTTAGGCATCAATCCTGAATTGAGGGATGAAAAGGATATAGAAGTAGGACTTTGAAAAGATTCCTGTTCCCGTTGATTCTCTAACAGAAACAAAAGAACAATTTCGGAGAAGCGTTATCAAATCTTCTTGACTGGGAATAAAACTTAATGATAGAGATGACAAAGATGATCGCTGCAGATGATCTTCCTTATCAAAAGTTGTTAAAACCTTGGCTGAGAAATATAGTCCGGATTCAACCTGCCAAAAACCTTTCATTAATGCATATTTAACACAAACGAATTAATGATACGTATCATATTAAAGTGAAAATAAACAGGAAATGAAAATGTTTGTTCTGTAACCCTGCTAAATTCAGCAAAATTTTGAAGGTGAAGTCCAAAAATAGAAAGTAAGATCGCATAGTTTGCCAATTACCAAACATGATAGTGAATGTACACTCACTTGTTCCATGACAAAAAAGGATCGAAACTAAAACCACATTAATGAGCTGCTGCAGGACATTTTCAACTTAAGCAGTAAACACTAAACTGCTTGGATCAAATTACCCAAAAAGCTGTTTTTTCCACAATAGCCGGATTCAGATTAAAGAAAATAGTTGATTCAGCAAACCAGGTATAATTATCCAAACCAAACAGGGCCCTGGTATAACCATTGATTCAGCAGTTGAGCCACGGCGTTCTTCCCGCCTCCGTGAACTGGAAAATAGAAGGAATGACAGATCAGAGGGAGAATGCCTCCATGGACTGTCAAATAGTAGGAATGACAGATCAGAGGGAGAGCGCACTCAAGTAGCTTCTACACTTGATTAAGCTGTTGAGCCACATTCTTCCTGCCTCTGTGAACTGTCAAATAGAAGGAATGACAGATCAGAGGGATAAAGTCTCTGTGGACTGTCAAATAGACGGAATGACAGATCAGAGGGAGAATGCACGGGGAATGACATATCAAATGGAGAACGCATGGGAAATGACAGATCAAAGGGAGAACACACGGGGAATGACATATCAGAGGGAGAACGCATGGGGAACGACATATCGGAGGGAGAACGCACGAGGAACGGCAGATCAGAAGGAGAACACACGGGGAACGACAGATCAGAGGGAGAACGGCTCCGTGAACAGTCAAATACAGGAACTCCAGATCAAGGAATGAAAGATCAGAGGGAGAACACACGGGGAACGACATATCAGAGGGAGAACACACGGGGAACGACATATCAAAGGGAGAACGCACGGGAAGCGACCAATCAGAGGGAGAACGCACGGAGAACGACAGATCAGAGGGAGAACGCACGGGGAACAACAGATCAGAGGGAGAACACACGAGAAACGACAGATCAGAGGTTGAACGCACGGGGAACGACAGATCAGAGGGAAAACAGCTCCGAGAACTGTCAAATAGCAGGAACTCCAGATCAGAGGAAGAACGCCATGGACTCCATTTTGAATTCTTTTAGAATTTGGGGAAAATGTGGAAATAAATCTAAGATTCCTCTTTGATAGCAAAATGCATAGAGGATCTGTAAGGAAAGTGAAGGAAGATTATGGGTTTCGAATGGGTTACAGGCTATGTTGCTCGGACTCTTCCAAAATGTCGACGGGTGTGTGTCGGATCCTCCAAAAATAGTGTATTTTTGAAGGATCCGACACAAGTACGGCCTCATTTTTGGAGAGTGCGAGCAACTTAGGTTACAGGTAGGGGCGAATATATAGGCTAAAATATGGAGCATGTGAACCCGTGGTCTCTCCGTAAAAGTAGGTTTTTATGTATATACAACAACATTACTAGTGAAATCGCACAAGTGGGGTCTAGGAGGGTAGAGTGTACATAGACCTTTCCTCTATCTCGAGGCTATTTTCGGGAGACCCTCGACTTGAGAACAACAAATCAAAGTAGGTATAAAAGGAAGAAAAATAATAGTGAAGAAAACATATCAGGTAGTCAAAAGAACAACAACAACAACAACATAGTGCGATAACTGAAGCACAAAAAACACATATGATAAAGGAAATCAAAAGCAATACACTAAAAAAATAAGGCAATTACTACAACAAATGACACGCCACTACCCTCTATCCTTCTATCCTAATCCGTGACCTCCACACCCTCCTATCTTGGGTCATGTCCTCGATAAGTTGGAGTTGTGTCATATCCTATCCAATCACCTCTCTTCCCAATAGTTCTTCAGCCTATCACTACCTCTCCTCTTACCCACTACATCCAACCTCTCACACCTCCTCACTGGGGCCTCTGCGCTTCTCCTCATCACATGCCCAAACCATCTTAGTCTTGCTTTCCTCGTCTTGTCCACAATGGAGGCATCTCCCACCTTGTCTCGGAAATCCTCATTCCTCCTCATTTTTTATCCTATCGCTTCTAGTATGTCCACACATTCATCTCAATATTAATATTTCCGCAATCTACATCTTTTGAACATGGGAGTTTTTGACTGGCCAACATTTCCACAAAGGCACATCCATAATTTATTTATTTTTAAAAAAAAGGGGTAATCAAAATTATCTTCTTATGGATCCCTTCAAAACACCAGGAAAGGAGAAGTACACTCTTCAAGATTGTACCGCCAAAGTCCCCAAGGCATAGCTCAAGTGGCAAAAGGTGGAGGATTTGTGGCTTAAGTCGCAGGTTCAATCCCCACACCATGCAAAGCGAATCCCGGTATTTAAGTGGAGAAGGGTAGAGGGGCGGGCCCATTATCCATCGAGTTTAGAAGGTTGTGATTGGTTCAAAGGGCGGGTCACAGACGGATTTCTCAGTTATCAAAAAAAAAAAGGAAAAAAGACTGTACCGCTAAAATACTTGCGGAAAATACTATGAAGCCGAAGAGCGAGGTGTATTAACTTACATGAGCTAAGCCCAAAGGTAAACACATGAATATCATTCAACTTATCATAAACATAACATATGATTAGACACAAGGTAAATTTATGTTTATATGGAAGAGGTATCAAAAGCCACCAGCTTAGTGGATTCTTCCACGACAACTTAATATTTAACATAATTTATAAATTAAAAAAGGCATGTCTTGAGTGGCAACTTTTTGATAAGCATCTTTTTTGGGAAAGGAGTAGATACTATTTGATTTAGGACGAGTTTTGGGATACCAAAATGATACGGAAATTAAATGGTAGTAATTAACAGACATTTCAGTTACTAATGGAGATTATACAAAACTATTGGCACATCTTAAGAAGGTACGTGATTATGGAATGATAATAAATCACGTCATCCTAGTTAGAAACAGGATACTTATGGTATATCATATTGGCATCAAAATCAGATCAAGATCACAACCAACGAATAAATCTGCATGTCTAATTTTGAAAACTCTTCTATGTCTCAAGAGTATTTGCTTAGCAGAAAGCAATATTTGGAGTTCCACCTATTGATCTTCTGCAACCAGTAATTGGAGTTCCACCTATGATGCTACTTGCTTGATCAGTTATGGATCTTAGTTTGGAGCTTCTATTTCTTCTACTAGCTTTGATAATTTCCTGCATTTGATTCACAACTGAATCTATGACAGCTGCAAAGCAACAAACAACCCTTAATTCTATGGTATAACTAGAAAAGTCATGAGAATCACTAATATGTTTTAAGAATTTCAACAATTGGAGAACTTTACTTATTTTATGTTACTTGAAACTCTTATATTATGAACCCCCTTGCATGATGTTAAGCACCAACTCAACCAGGATTTTCCTTTCTTTTATCTTTGTATGCATTATTAAAGCCTGAATGCCCTCAGCGGTTTCTTTTTCAGCAAATTCTTCCTCATCGTCAATGAAATCAATCCAGAATAATTTCTTGCACTCTTGGCCCCGAGGGAATAGTTCGTCACAGTTGAGACAAAGTCCCTTAAACCGTATTTCATCCATTTCAGATCTGGTCAATTTCTACACAAATATAGTGGGTTGTTGAGGTGAGAAATCCGTTGTCTTTGATCGACCGACATCTAACTATTGCGAACAAAGGGGTTGTTCCTTGTGTTCATAAAGTTTGGAAATACTCATCACCATGGCCAAATTTGGAGGATTACGCAATTCTGCATCAATAGCTATGTAATCAGCAAGACTACTAATGTAAAGTTCATTTTTTTGCACTTGTGTAAGGGTACCAGCCGCGAAACCAATTGCTCAAACCTTTCTTCGTAATCTGCCATAGATCCAATTTGGCGTAGCCATTTCTCCCAACTTTTGACTTCTAACTGCTGGTCCAAAATGAAGGTTGCATCGACATTTGAACTCATCCCAAGAACATTGAGGCATATCTTTCTCTAATTGAAGAAACCAGATGCAATTCCTTCAAATGAAGGAAGCAAGACCAATTTTTTCTTCTTCTGGTACTTGCCAGTGTCGAAAGAAATGCTTGAACCTGTTTAGCCATCCCAGGGGGTCCTTGTGGCCACGAAATCGTGAAAAAATCCAACTATGTATATTTAGGAATCATGAAATTCCCAATAGTTTCTGATCCCGAACCTGCAGCCATAACCACTGCTTTGCCTTCCAACCTCAATTATGACTACCATTTTCAATTGCTTCAACATCTGCCTGAATTTGCTAAATCCTTCCTGAGTGCATCCAAGTGAGCACTTACGGCTTCTTGGCTTGCTAGATTAATTGTGCATTCTTCTTGGAACAAAGTCAACAATAGTATCAATTGTTGCTGGATTAGATCTCCCATAACTCCTATCTCTAATACCAAGTTGTTACGGTCCACTTGGACGTTGTTAACCGCCAATTCAATGAGTCTTTCCTCACTTTTATCTTCTCAAAATCACTACTAATTCAAATGTCCATCAATATCATAACATATTCTAGAAAACTAGTTTCACCTAATATTTTGCAACATAACAAACTTTTCCATGGCAAACGGAAGAAATTGGGGATGTAGTACAATTGGCTCTGCTGCTCTGGAGCTTTTAAGTGTTCAACTATTGCTCATAATCAAGAACTTAGTGGTTTGTGTTTGAGCCTAAGAGGGAATATCTTATCTGACTAAAGTTATAGCTCAAGAGTTGATTTGCATACATATTTACGTGACAAACTAATGCACACTACTACTTCCTCTTTGTGGAGTGTGGGCGTGTTTGCTGGGTCGGGCCCCTAATCCCTTTTGGAATCTGAACTTCTTACTAGCACTAACAAAGGGAGAAAACAATATAAGAAACTTCCAACATGTACAAGCCACAAATCAATCTAATGTAACCCAAACGTTTTCTTGTTCTCCCTTGATTCTTCATATTCATATGATGAAAAAAACTCGGATAACCATTTATACATTTACATACCTCGACTAATTCCATTGTACCTGCTATCTCCCATAAGCAGCTAACTCTGTTCACCAAGACTTGGACAGATGAAAAGAAATCGCCTAGTATATTTTTCTTTGAAACATTAACTAAAATCAAGAAGAATGATCAGTCTGAACTTATTCCAGCTATCACCAAAACCATTTTAATGATCTCCAAGATTCCTACTTACCCATAACCAAACAATAGATAGCAAAAATCACAGACCAAAGACAATAACAAAATGAACAGTTTTACAACAATACCATAATAAAAGCACCACGATACACTCACAAACAGGAGGCGGAACTAGAGGAACTCGAGGTGTTCATCTGAAACATTCACAAACATACAAGGGCAGAGCTAGGGGACGCAAGACGAACCCCATTCGCTAGAAAATTATAGTTGATATATACAAGATCAAGATTTAATGTACATATATAATAGATGTTGCATCCTCTTGGCTTCTTCTTCTTTTTCTTTCTTTTTTTACCCCTCCTAAGAGCTCCCACACTTTTTAGCTCCCTTCGCGACTCGAACTCACAACCTTAGGGTTGAGAGTGATGAGTGTTTATCATTCGAGCAACTTCCTCTTATCTCCTCTTGGCTTCTTCATGTGTAAAGATTCTTTACGAAAATCCTGACTCCACTTCAACTCACATAGAATTGAACAAATTTAACTCCACAAAGTTAACCAAATTAAACTCAAAGGTAACATGATCCATCACAAAGATTTCTATTCATAAACAAACAAACAAATAAAGTAAAATTTGAGCATTTTCAAAGATACCCAATTAGTAAAAGTACCAAAACAATCATTCAATTGCATAAACAAGCTAAAAACAAAAATAAAAAAACCTGATATAGGGGTTATGACATAGAGTTCCTTCTTCATCACCATTTTCTTCATCTTGTGTGCTTTAAGTTTTGATTTCCTCCCTTTAGAAAACCCCAAATTGAAAACTTTACACAATTTGAGACAACCCCAAAAAAAGATTGAACCTTTTTGAATCTTTTTTGGATTCTTTTGCTCTTGTACAGGTATGATCATCTTCATGTATATTTGTTTTTTCCTCTCACTGAAAACAAGAATTGAGATTCCAGTAATCCAGTATTTCTTCACTATGTATATGAAGTTGGGTTAAAAGACAATTTTGCCCCTTGAGGTTATGAAATAGTACAAAATTGTTTTTTTTTTGTTTTTTTTTGCAATTTTTTCGACTCGCTTGTATTGGGGTGTGATTAAATTTGAAGTTATGCATTCTTAGAAAGCGCGATTTAATATGATTTCTTTTATTCTCTGAAGACTCGCTTGTAGAGCTGTCAATATGGGCTAGCCCACCCCATCCGGGCTAACCCATACAGGCTTTGACATTTTACGGGTCAGGCCGGGCTAGCCCATTTTTGGTGTGGGCCAGAAAACGATCGGCCCAACCCACAAGTACGTGGGCTACAGGCTTGCCGGGCCAGCCCTACTTTTTTAAAATTATATATTTTTATAATTATTAAAATAAATTATAAATTATAATTTAAAAATATTATCATAAATATAGACAAAACAATATTACATGGTGTTAATGTTACTACTTGTTAATCAAATCCACAAATAAAATTATCTTTATAATATTTATTAAGGTTTTTCAAATAAAAGTATAAAATATCTAAAATAAAAATATTAACATAATTGTTTTGTCACATTTAAAAACACAAAAAAATGTGACAATATTCCAACGATAAAAAAGTTAAAAAATAAACTCCTTAAAAAAAATCATGAAACTTATGGCATATCTAACACATCATGAAATCTATGGCATATCCAACACATCATGATCATCTTCATCAAGCATATCTGAATCAGTTTGTGGCAAGGTTGTCTTAACATCTTTATTTTCATCTGCAATTTATATGCGGTTTCAATTAGTTAAATATTAAATAGATTTTGAGTTTGGACTCTCTTTAATTTTAAAATTATTTTTATTTGGCCCACGGGCCGGCCCTACCTATATTTCTCAAGCCCCACAAATCAGCAGGCTTATTCAGGCCGGGCTAAAAAACCCTTTTCTTAAATGGGCTCCAAAAATCTTAGCCCAGCCCTATTAAATC